CCCCCCGCCCAAGAACTGCAAAATGGAAATCTACCTTGGGCAAGCTTTTGTTTCAGGGACCTGCAGGCACATTACACACACGAAAGCACTCTTGCCCAACCATATTCCCTTCTCCCACTGCCCTTCAGAAAGACAGAAGTACAGCACTAACACACAGAATCAGGCACCAAAAATAAAATACTAAAAAATGACGACCGCAACAAAAGTATATAATATAATAGAGACTACAGACACAAGAAAGAAATTCACTTACCTGCAAAAATAGATTGACTTCTTGTAGTTTTTGTCTTATTTCTTGTCCGGCTCGTTCTTCCATCTCTCTTTTATATTGTTCTATTTGGCTGTGATCCACCATGTTAGTCTCCAAATGATGTTTGAGGTTAGCCACCTCTTCTTTCAGCTGGCATTTGCTCTTCTCCAGTTTTTCATGGTTCCCACGCATGGTGGATAGCTCTTCTCGCAAATCCTGATTTTGTGCTTCTAGCTGCATGCATTTTTTAGACTCTATCTCCAGCTGCTGGGAAAGTTCACCAACCTGTAGACAGCAAAAAAAAGCCCAGGAACTCAGAAGGATCTAAAATTAGTCAACTCTGAAAATCCGCAAAGGGATTGGCCACTGAGACTATATTTGCCATCTGCTGACTCAGTATTAAAACCAAAGTGAAATCAGGCTCTTCTTTTAAAACAAGAACAGCTTTCACATCATTTCTGATAGGACCCCTCGGGTTCCCATCCTTTCTCAGGTCTTCTGCACTAAGTCACAGATCAAGAGGTACCAAACTAGCAGCATTTCACCCATAGGGCTAGGCTGAAAAGCACTAGGACTATTCTTCCGTGAGATGCTCATATGCTCATAGGAAATCAAACACACCCATACCTAGCCACTTTCTGGTTTCATCAGAAACAAGATGTATCATGCTTTAGAGGAATTTTTACATGCTGTCACCACAGTCAAAGCTTCATTACAGAACTGACAAGACAAGAAACAGATACTCTTTTTTTCCATTACTCTGAGAGGTTTGTAAATAATGGTTCAGAACAGAGTTTTTACAGCAGCGGTAGAGGAAGACGTATTCTCTCTAGGTCAAACCTGCAGTTATTTTCAAAAAATTGCAGGAAATATCAGACTTTCAATAGGTCCCAATGGTCAACTACAGCTCCTTCCTCCTCTTCCTCCCTCCAGAAACATTCCTTTTCTATATCTATTGAACATAAAACATGACGTCCTGTCTTTTATTAAAAAAACAGTAGAGGAAACTAGCATAGTAAACACTTGAAAGAGTCTCTAACAGAAAGTAGAAATTTTAGACTTTTTAAAAACTGCCTAAATGTAATGCCCTTCCCCGTCACTCAAAATAACTCTTCCAACAGAAACACAAAAATGCTAACTTTTGGACTGAAAATGAGCCACTGCAAAGGCAGTTGACTCATTCTACAATACCTTCTAAACACAAACGTAGCTGTGAAACATGGCTGCTTTAGCAACAGTCCGAGTAATGAGCAGAGAAATAGGTAAAAGGTTACATGCTACTGAATAGCTAAAGCAACCTCAAAAGCACTTCTGGGAACTCTACTTCTAGGTCCCCATGACAAGGGAAAGATGGGCTGAGACAGCTACTAGTGAGCAGTAAGTTACAGAACTTTTTCTGCACCACCTCACCGCATCGAGCCTGAGAAGCAATGACACCATTTAGAAGAGCAAAACCTGAACTGCCTCCTGCTCAACTCATGCCTAAGACGGCTCAGGGGATGATCTTGGGCAAAACCAACTTCATACACTTGTTCAAGTTATGGCGGTGTTACTCCCCTCCCTTCCTGGGAAGGAATTAATCTGTCAGACCTAGAAGATGCTGCCACAGTCTCAAGCTGCAGCCAGGCCTGTGCTGGGCCACGTTGCTCTCAAGCCCTGGCCCTCACCCATGGACGTGACGTCCTGGTTGGACTGCAGACCTGTGCGTTCCCTATGGACTGGCCTGGTGATCTGCACTCTTGGCTGACGCTGCTTACTGTCACCGGACCTGTTCTGCTCTTCTTGGTGAAGGCCTGTGGGACTGTTCCCTGGCCCGTGAGGTCATGAACCCTGCTGCAACTCTCAGCTTGCCCTTCCTCCACAGGGCAGCTTGCCCTTGATGTGCCCTTGCAGATACCACTTTGCACATAACGTTTTCATCTTTACCCGTGATGATAACTACATTAGTATTAGCTAGTCATCCACTGTCATAACAGTAGAAGGAGCATGAAGAAAAGTCAATCAATTCCAAAATACAGCCAGGAAAAAAATCAACAACATGAAAAGAAGTATAGGGA